TACAAATACCATTGAACAGTCCAAGAACGAATACCAGAATTCCAAAATTGACTGGGAACAAAAGGAACTGAATTTAGTAAATTGTGTAAAAAAATCAGAAGAAGAAAATTTTTCTCTGGAAAAAGAAATTAATAGGCTGGCAAATTTGCTGAAGCAATCTGAGGAGGAAGCTTCTGCATCTAAGAAGGAAGAAGCTCAGTTGAAGGAGAGCCTAAAGGAAGTTGAATCTGAGGTGATTTATCTGCAAGAAGCTTTAAAGGAGGTCAAGACTGAGAGCATGAAATTGAAGGAGAATATGTTGGATAAAGAAACTGAACTGCAGAGTGTCATTCAAGAAAACAAGGAACTTCGAGCTAGGGAAGCTGCTTCTCTTAAGAAAGTTGAAGAGTTGTCTAAGTTGTTAGAAGAGGCTACAATCAAAAAGCAAAGTGAGGAAAATGGTGAGCTAACTGACAGCGAGAAGGACTATGATTTGCTGCCTAAGGTGGTTGAATTCTCAGAAGAGAATGGACATGGAAGTGAAGAGAAGCCCAAGTTAGAGATCCCATCAGAACAGCCCGAGGAGCACAAAATGAAAAATTCTCTGGAGGTAAATGATGGCTCAAAAGTTGAGGTTCTTCAAGCAGATGGTGCCAAAGTGGAGAATGTGAACGGAAAAGTTAAGGAAGATGAGATGAAAGGAAAAGATGATTCAGTTGAAGTTGAATTTAAAATGTGGGAGAGCTGCAAAATTGAAAAGAAAGAATTTTCACCAGAAAGAGAACCTGAGCAAGAATCCTTTGATGAGGAAGTGGAGTCAAAGGTGGATGTTAGTGAGGGCTTTGATCAGATAAATGGCTCGACAGAAAATGCTGTTGATGGTGGAAACTCACCATCAAAGCAGCAGCAACACAAAAAGAAGAAGCCTTTACTCCGAAAATTTGGGAGCCTACTGAAGAAGAAGGGAAGTAGCAACCAGAAGTAGATAATGAAATCAGCCATGGCATGACTCAGCCCTACCAGCAAGCCGGTATATCGGATAACATCTTCCAGCTGAATGTGTTTGCTTCATTTGTTTTGCTTCTAATGTTCTCAATAGGTTTAAAATTGAAGAGGCTTGTATCATGTTTAGTTTCTTAAATCTTTTTTCTCTTTCAAAAGTTTAAATTTGATTCTCCACGTTGGATAGTATCTGTATGTGATGGAGATAATTCTTAATTTTTTTTTTCATGTTTTTCATATCTAAAATTCATGAAAAAGCATGGTGACTTAGGTTGTATTTCAATGTGCATTCATTCAATGTTGAACTTAGTTTTACATGTCATGTTTAAATTGCAATCGCTATTTGCCGGATTGTGCAATGTGCATGATTATCAAGTTACATCGATCAGTTTGTGATGTAATCTGAATCAAACCTTATATGCTCTTAGTTCTCTTTGGCATCAGAAAAAATCCGAGTTGCGGATTGATCTTGCTATGCGGTTAATTCAAAGTTGAACTTCAGTTTTCTGAGAAAACACCCTTCTGTGGTTTTAAGTGATCAGAAGTTTCTGGTGATAGCAGATTCCTTCCCATTTCATGTGGAATAAGTAAGAACATGGCATCCAGGAGTAGATGATGAGAGCTTAGGGTAAATGTGACAGTAATTAAAGGGTTTTACTGGTTTACTTCATGTGTGTAACCTTAGTGTGAATCAAACATGAAACAATCCGTTATCCCAATTCCCATGAAGAATGAGATCAAAACTAGAACAGTAAAATTTTGTTTTCTCCACTCATCAATGTATGACAACTGCAAATGGCCCCAACTATTGGTTGTTGTTTTTGTTGCACATACAAAATGGCATGCTTTTTAATTTTTTTTACAAATTTGAGCTAAACTTCAAGTTGCGTGCTTTCTTAATTTAAACAATAGATTGTAGTCATCCATGAAAAAAGGGTGTTGACATTATCATTGTTGGTGTCTGTAATGTGATATATTCAAGATGAGAGAGACATAAAACTTGATGAAAAAAAATAATTTACATCATCAAGTGAAGGAAAATGGTGATCTAATGGAAGCAAACAAGGTCTTTTTTCTTCCTTAAAACTTGAGATTTCCTAGGGATCATGTTAGTATTTTATATTTTATAAGAATCCCAAAAAGAATTCATGCACCAAGTTTAAGCCAGGAATTTTTTAGTCTGAGAAGCCTCTCTTCGTAAAAATTACCCATGGTAAAAATTTGACTTATTAAGCAGCTATGTTATGTACGGAGGAGAACATAGTTTGAACTGTCCAATGGTAATGGTTTTCTTTTCTGCTTTTCCCATGATTTGCTGTTCCCTCTGACCTTAGCCCACTAAAAGGAAAAGAAAAACAGAAATGAGGTTCAATTCAAACGGTCAAAAGATTGGGGCAGATGCCATTTGAAAGTAGAATCTAAAAGACCCGTTCAGGCAAAAAGCAAGCCAAGCTTGTATCATTTAATTCTAGTTGGTGATTCTTTGTCAATGATATAGCAACCAAATCTTCTTAATAAATGCAATTTCCATCTGCTAAGCAATGTGCTTTTTTTTAGTTACATGTTGGAACCAATATTTGATTCATTTTCAAATGTTTTTAGATAAAATCTAATTCACTTCCTTCCATTCCACCTATCATACCTTATTTTCTCCACTTTCTTGGAATATAAGGCAATGATGCATGCTTACAAATGAGGTTGTAAAAACTAAAGAATGAAAATAAGTACCCTTGTTTTTTGTTTAAGAAAAAAAATGAAAAATCTTAAATAATTATTGTCAATTTAACATAAACCAATAAGCCAATAATATTTACTGCAAATAGTATTTTGCGGGTAATTGGGGATAAAAAGATATCAAATAGGACATTAAATTTATATTATTTTTACTATATGAGTTAACTGAATTAAATTTTAAATTCAGAATATAAAATAATATTTGAAACATGTATATAAAGATTATATTGGGAGATTTCAGCATAAGAAGAGAAACAATTCTTTGATTAAACTAGTAAACGAGACGATTGTGATACTGGAGATGGTAAAATAACAGTAGAATTAATGTTGGAAATTGTTATTTATATGAATACTCCTGTTGAAATTGTTGATAGATGGGGACATGATAATTTAAAAGAAGTTCTTAAAGAAAAGCTTCTTTCTTCAAGGGTCAAGATACGATGAATATGATGATGGTAGAAGTTATAGGTCATACTGGATGAAAATGGATTTAAGAATTGAGAACTAGCTAGATGCTGAATTGGAATTGGATTACAGCAATTACTGCACCTCATTCTCTGCTTTTTCAAAATCATAGAAATTCAATAACTTATATAGACATTAGCTACAGGTTTAGCTGTATAATCATATGTTATATAATCCTCTTATACATCTACATAATTTCCTCGGTGATGCAGCCCATTCAAAGCTCTAGGTTTTTTACTCTTCGAAGTGAAGCAGCTTCAGCTTCTGAGTGGAAGGAAAGGAATTAACTGTAAGAACAAGTACTGAGGTCATATTCCAGCCTCAAAATTATACCAAAGTCCATAAATTCAAACGTTTTTCCATCACGTCCATGTCACTAAGTGCCTAAGGATGTATCTCTCTGATGACTAGAAGACTATATATGTCATCTTTGTGTGATAATGAATCAGATTGTTGATGAAACCAGTTCTATAAATGCATCAAATTTTTGTTCATATAGGTTAAATGTATATGTTATAGTGGATATTTAATGAGAAATTGAACCTGATTTTATGTTACTGGTGATTCCTGCTAGCAATCTTCATGTAAAGTAAAATGAATTTTATTTTCTTTCCTGCTTTCTGATTATTCAGTTGTCGATCATTATCTCAGCACCTGATTGATGTTTCCTGCCATTTTCTTTGGTTTTACCTTCCAATAATAGTATACTGAGGCTTTGTGGCCGTTCATTGATGTCTAAACATGGTATGTTTGAACAAACATTGTTGTATTACTGTGTCGTCGAAACTAAATTGCAGACATCCTTTGCAATGCAAGAAATGAACGTTGGAAAAGATATTAGGAAATATTTGATGAAGAGCTTCAGACATAGACCAAATGATCTTGGAGGATATAATGTTTTTCGTTCCTTATGTGATGACCCTAATTATTTTAGAACTTTGAACGTGGATTTGATGTTTTCTTCATAAAATATATATAAAAAAAAAAACTGTTTATTAATTTGGGTTTTCTTTATTAAAACGGAGTAGACCTTTTGTAGCAGATAGTTTGCAGTTCTTTCTTGATTTTCATCAAAATTCTGTGAACTACCTTTCTTGATGAATTTTAAGCTCTTTATCAGCACAAATTTCCTAGTTCACGTTATATTTCTTTTTTTTTTTTTTATGCTGATAGATCTCCGTACCATTTTTTCCCTTTATTTCTGGGTTTTCCGTCTTTTGCAACTTTATTAGTACCAGATCAGGAAATTTGTGTATCCCGAATCCATTTGGTGTCGTGTCACAATTTTCGTAGACATGTAGAAAACGAAATATATTTTTGGCTTTTACCAAATTCAGATACAATTTTTGATAAAATTTTAAACCTTTTCATGTATTTCGTCTCCTGTCTTCGTATCATATTTAAAATTAATATCTAATATAATCTCAGTCCAAGCTTTGCTGCTCCTACATGTAACTTTCTTCAGGCAAAATTGTTGCTAAGGCTCCATTCCAGCTCCTACCATTAACTTCCATTCATGCTTCCACATCTCTAATATTCAATCGTCCAACAGCTTTTTAACAATTTTGAGTTTCTAAGTCCTTCAATGGCATAAATACTTGTCTGGCATCTGATAAGTTCTTGGCATGTTGCAGAATTTTCACAGCAGAAGCTTATCTATAAATTATATACTTAATTATAACTGCTGTGCCGAATCAGATCAAAGTTTGTTCTCAAAGGTCAGTGTTTTTATTGTAACAGTAATTTTCAATAGACTTCTGGATTAGAAAATTTGGTAAGAATTATATCATAGTGCAAATTTCTGCAACAAGTTATATCAAATGGTGGCTAGTTTCCTTTCTGTTGAGATAAAATTAGCCATGACAACAAAAAAGATTATCATCAGCCAGACATAACAGTTCATTAATCAAATTTGGCTTTAAAACAACAAATTTCAATACAGAGCACTAGTAATTTTGAATACTGTTTTGAACTAAAAGGTCAATTGTTATCTTTGCAGGCCAATGGCTGAAAATAATAATAGCATATAATAAATTATCTCCTCCATCTTGCGGTTGGAGATATAATCAGAATCCTGAAATCTACTAAACCATGTGCTAAGCAAACTTCTTTAAAAACTGATAGCTATTTTGATTTTTTAAGAATATAAATTGGAGGGTATGAATAGCGGATCCTAAACATACAAAACTTCTGGAAAATAAAAGACAGTAGCCTGCCTGCTCCATCAGTCTACAGATCAATTTGTCAGAAGTTGATCATGCTCAAACTCCATCATCATATTGTTCAGCTTCCTGTTGCTTATTCTCTGTTGGTAGATTCTTGTGTCCTCCAAACTGCAGGCAGAAAATATATATAAATCAATAAATAAACAAATAATGAATGAAATTGAATCTGGAAACTAGCTTAGTTGGTTCATGGAGTCAACCTTAAAAGAAAGCATCTAATAGGTCTGGGATCAAATCCCTGCAACCCCTTCCTTGTCACTAAACATCAAATTATGTTACTAACCTTCGAGGAGGTGAAGAATCAGAGGATGGTAATAGCATTTGGGCAAGCTTATCAGCATCTTGGCTGCAATTGATAACATGGTTGAAGCACAGATATCGTCCGTAGGATGAGATGTCTTCGAACACCCAAATGTGAGCGTCCGCGATGAACCTGAGATCCACGGTAACAAATACACCATTCTCATACATCTCAGCTGCTCCTTTTAAATATGGGTTTGTGATGGTTAGATCAGGAGTCATCAACAGCCCTCCATTAATGGTCACCATGTTTATGCCACGGTCCATTGCCAGTGCCCAAGCTGACTTCTCTGCTAGTGTCTTTGATAATGCATGCCATAACTGTTCAATATCAAAGTCAACGGATCAATATCTATATCCAAGGACTAAACATAACTAAAATTTTATTTCACATGGCAGATAACTCATTTTTTTTGCAAAAGAGCTGCAACATGAAGATAAGGGATAAGGTTATTGGGATTTGAATCTGGATTTGAACCCAAACTTGATAGATGTGATCTTTTAAGAATGATTATATGAATCAACTGAACTATATTCTGGATTCAGATAATTCGTATTTTAGTACCTTTAACTTCTTGCAAAAGTTGATGTCACTCCAGTTCTTTTCGTCGAAATCAGACGAAGCTGTTTTGCGACCTTCGTTCCATATCACGGCAGTTACAGAGGATGTGAAAACGACCTTTTCAATTGTATCTGTTTGAGCACATGCTTCCAACACATTGTGAGCTGCTCTCACCTCAAATTCTGCCATATATTCCTGCACCAAACAAGCCACATGCTTCTCTTTACTTTGTTCCATCAAAATTGATTTTTTTTTCTTGCTGTATATATGTACCATATGCTCAAAATGGAAAATAATATAGTAAGAATTGAAATTAAAAAAAAAAGACCATGGAGGAAAGAATTAAGAGACATACATCATAGGTGGAGTGATCAGAGGGAGGTTCAAAGCAGTAAAACAAGCCACAACATCCTTTCAATGCATTTGTTATGCTGTGGTAGTCAAAGGGGTCTGCACCAAATACCCTTAATTTTTCACTACTGCAAGGCATCCCCTTAACGGATTGGAATCCACCTGCATATATTAATTAGCAACAAAAAAAGGCAAAAAAAAAAGTTTTTCAATTTAATTAGTTCACATGATAGATAAACAGAAAAAAGTGAAAAAGGAGATAAGAGCAAGAGAAGCTAACCATGGTGTTGAACTGCAGCATGGACAGTGTAACCTCGATGCAAGAGCAAGTGCACAAGGGCAGAACCGAGATGACCGGAGGCATCCATTACACAAACTGTCCTTGAGTTGTCATTGAAACCAGAAGCTGATCTTGCCATGGTTGATACAAATTTGATAATTTCTACAATGCCAAGAAGAAGAAGAAGAAGAAGAAATGGTTGAGAGGGAAATGTGGTGATGTATTTATTATATACGTGAACACGAGGGGTGCAAGAGAGCATTGAAAGAGTTGGGTTAATGACAGATAGTTGGGCAGGTGGCAGTTAGCTGCTTCGAAAGAAAAAGGTGTATGAGTTGACCAAAAGCATAATGAGAGTAGAAGAAAGAGATTATTAGGCAATGACAGATCCAATACTGCATAGTGGGACCTATGCAAGCTCATACCTAAATGGAATGCTGTAAAAATTTTGAAGACACGACAACCGTCTCCGGTTAAGTTATTTCCTTTTTTGTTTTTGCTTTTAAATGCTTTGTGTCTTGAGAGAAAAAAATTATAAATTGAAATATGAATTTTAAATTTATTTTTTAAGAACAATTGTTTTAATTAATTCAATTAAGTTATAAGTTAAATTTTTTAAGTAGATTCGGTGTTTGTGTATTCATATCACATAAATATTAAAATTTACATATATATATATATATATCGTATTTTATATAAAAATTATGTATCATAATTTATATTGATATAAAAATATAAAATATATATTTTTTAATTTTGTTAAATTCATGTATAATTATAATTACAATTTTAAATTATTTTATTTTTTTATAGCATACTCATATCGTATTATCATATCATATTTTAAATTATCAAATTTATTTTTAAGTTTTTTTTATTTTAATTTCCCGTTACACACAATTGTTTGAATCTCAATTACATATGTTACTAGTAAATAAAATAGCCTTTTGTTAGCATCATAAAATTATGCCCAAGTAAATATTAAAAATCAAATACTTTAGTTTAAAGTAAAAGTGATCATGAATTAAATCAAATTAGATCAAATTTGATTGATAGTTCTAAGTATCAAATTCATTGGTGTTTTAATAATTGAATTTATTATCAATTTAATTTAAAGTAGAAGTGTTCATGAATTAAATTAAATATAATCAATAGCTCTAAATATCAAATTCATTGATGTTTTAATAATCGAATCGATCATCGAATCAATCAAAAATTTGATTCCCGATTCAATTAATATAATTAGTTAATTCAATTTATTATATTATTTTTTATTTAGACTTAAGTCATGTTTGATATATAAAATGATGGATAGAATAAAAAAAAAATGATAATCATCTTATATTATATTTAGTTTGTATTTAAAAATATATATCATATTATATATTTAAAAATTACATTAATAATTTAAATTATATAAACTTAGAGAAAAAATAATTTTGATCAATATATAAATTATTTTATCATAATTGTTGCACACATCAAACACAAGTTAGGATAACACTATTTACTTTAATTTTATTCATAATATTATATTATTATATTAATTATAATTTTATACACCAAACATATCTTAAATTTATTAAATACATATTAGATATATTATTTTATTATTTCCGTTTATAAAATCTAAAAACTTCACTTTCAATAAGTAAAATAATTTCTTTTTTTTTTAAAAAATAAAAACTTTGTGATAAATAGTTTGCTTAGACCTCTCTGTTCTTTGTCAATAAAAAAAAAAAAAAAAAAAAACCTCTATGGCATGGTAAAAGTGTAGTATCATACTATAGTTATAATAACAGTGCATTTGACATAGCCCCTCCCCCCTTTTCTTTTTTGTTTTTGTAGAGAATGAAGGGTAAATTACAGGTTCATCCAACCTAAACTTAAACATAGGCCAGAGTTAAAACAAATTAATGGCTGAAGAATTTGAATTGAAAATGGTGCATAATAATAAATAAACTTTGAACTGTAATAACTTGCATGCTCTAATTACTCATATATATTCAAATTTCAAAATTATTAGAGGAAGGAAGGAGGGGTTACTCAAATAATAAATTAATTACAAAAATGAATGAAAAATAATAATAAATTACTCAAAGCTTGCAATTTTTATTTCGTAATTTACAAATGGATATAACAATTCTTTATCCAAGTTTTAACTTGGCATAGCAATTAAGAAATTTTGATTTTAATGTATATTTTATTAAAATTTTAAATTCTTTTACAATATGATGTGCTGTTATTATTTTAATGTTAAGCAAAATCATAACAAATTAATATAAAATATAAAAAAAAGAATAGAAAGAATTAAAAAAAATGAAAGATGACAAGAAAATAAAATTGAAGTATTGTTTTATATTTGGCCAAAATTTTTTTGAATATTTAAAACATAATAAACTTAAAACTCAAACCCGAATTCAACTCAAATATATGGACAAATGAAATTGGAATAATTTTATCAAAATTAAGCAAATTATAAAACTATTATTGATTGAAGGGGTATTGCTTGCTTTAACGTCAATCTCAAAGGCAGTTGTCTATATCTTTCCCTTTAATTAAATTAAAAAATATATATATTTAATGTATTATTGATGTATAAATTTTACACATTATGAATAAATCATATAATATTATCTCATTAATAAATAATTTTTTTTAAAAATTAGGTTTTATATATTTATTTTTTTAAAAAATTTTTATTAATAAAATAACATCATTTAATTAATTGATAATATATATAATTTATATATTAATAATATATTAAATATAAACTATAAATTAAATTAATATAAAGTGGTTAATATTGAACCCCAAACAAAAAAAAAGAAACAAGAGGTCATTGAGATCCATAGATTTGACAAATTTTTCTTATTTGAAAAGCACTGGATATTAATTTATGGGTTTCGTCAACAACAATATTTCTTTACAAACATGACATTATTATATGGCCACGTACAATTTTTTTTAAGTTAGGTGAATATGACTTTGCTTTATCTATCGACCATGCATCTCCAACTTTAATTTCTATCCCATTCTTTTTATTTTCTTTCAATAAAACATTTCAGTTAGGTCAAAGTTTTAGAAGACTCATTCTGAAAATATTATTCCTGCTGTGTAGTTTCATCAGCCACCATCCCACCATTGGAAAATATTCGTACCGCATTTTTTAGGTAAAATTTTTTGTTAAACACGATTTAATAAAAATAAAAATAAAAATCGATTAATTGATAGAATTTAATAAAAATATTAATAATATATAAAAAAATTAAAAATATCATTTATAATTTAAATTTGATGAGTACTTATTGACCAATAAAAAATTTTATTAAATGTTATTTTTTAAAAATAATTATATGAAATAATTAAATTAAATTTGTATTTACAAAAATGGTTTTTCAAACTAATAAGGTGAGTGTAATTTCACTAATTTCAAAAGGATTTTTGCATTTTACCCAAGAAGACACAAAATAATAGTTTTTACACCCTATTAAGAAGAAAAAAAAATATATGATCATTTGATATGAAACTTAAATGAATTCTTTTGAGTTTTGATTGATATATACTTTTATTAATTAATTATTAAATTTGTTTTTAAGTGGCAAGTCTCTTTGGGGTTGGGTTCGAAATTGAAATCAATGAAAAGGTGGGTAGCGTAGGAAGAGATGAGAGAGTCCTTTATAAACCTAAAAATAAAGTGGTGAGTAGAACATCCAACTGCACTCTTTATTGTGTGACATTGGTGAGGATATCCTAGTTGGAAGCAATTGGAGGGAAGTTGCGATTTTTGGGCTTTTTTTTGTCCACTTTCAATTTAGTCCCCACAAAAAACAATGTTGCTTGGTTTCCTTCTCACCTGTAACAATAGCAACCTCCTTTGTCCTCAATTTCTATTTGGGCTTTGGTATTGGTTCCTTCTTTGTCCTTTGGTTAAGGTTGGAGGCCTGTTTGCTTTCGAATTTTATTTGCAAGTACGTATATATGTAGCTTTTTTTTTTTCAACTTTTTTAGGGTTAATATGGGTTAGAGGCAGCAACTAAATAAATCAATAATTTTAAGTCAGATTATTTTGAATCGAAGAACCTTTAAGATGTTTCGTATTTGGATACTTTAAATTTGACATTTGAATTAGATAAGTTTGAATTAAATTTAAATTTAAATTATTGTGTTTTAAATTCAAATAAATTTAAATTATTTCAAGTTTTAAATTTGAATTATTTTAATTTTAAATTGAATAACTTTAAATTGTTATTTTTTTAATCAAAATCACGATGAATAATTAAATCATATTAGATAAATTAAACGAGTTTTTAGAATTCAAATAATCTTTATTCTAATTAAGTCATGTGATTGCTAGCAAAGTTATTTTCTCTAAGCATATTTTTGGGAATCATTATAATTTTAAAAATATGGGATTGAGATTTGCTTCCTGCACTCTCTCTCTCTCTTTCAAATAGATAGTAAAGAATCTATAAAAATACAGTTTAAAATAAAAAAAAAAAGGAAAAAACGGTGACAAAATATTGGACATAAGTTGGATGAGATTGACTTTGAAAAGAAAACAAACAATGAAATAGTGACATAAGAGAAGATAAGTTTCATCATAGTTGTCAACCATTAATTGTGAAATGGAAATGGACCCTTTAATATGCCAATATATGCATGGTCAATTTATATCAATATTGTAGTCACAAACTATTAAGTTATCAGTTTATATATTGCCTTTTTTTTTTTTTTCTGTTTTTATTCTTTGCTGGAATACTGTTTATGAGCTTGAAAAGCAAAGCCACATCCATTCTTTCAACAACAAAGAAACCAACTCTTGATTTGTACCAATTCTTTTATTTTTGTGGAGCCTGGACACCTATAATCTCTCCCTCTTTCTAAAGGGAGTGGACTAATGTAAAGTTTATTTGGTGGAGAGATAATGACGAAAATATGAGAATTGTTTCTTGTAAAAAATTATCGATATAGATAATTTATGTATTCATATATTGTTTGTTTTATATAAAATAAAAAAATTATCATGTTATTATTCAAATCACACATCAAACGTAGAACACATATTTTGATTTTTATCAAATTTATATATGATTTTTATTTAAATTTTAATCTGTTTCATTTTTGTGATTTTTTCACATTGTATTGTTATATCATATCTAAATTTGTCAAGACTACTCTATTTGAATTTTAGTAATTAGAAAAAGGGTATTTGGAATTATAATTATAACTGCCATCAGGCAATTAACTGAATGACTACCAGCTTAAGCAAATGATACAAAAGTTTGGAGACAAATGGTTGAGTTGGGAAGCAAGTGGCCTTGGCTATGAACTTTCTATCGTTTTGAAATTTCCAAGCACAAGGTCTAGGATGTTTAACATAAAATGGATAAATGTCTTACATCATTTAGTTCAAGTGGACTACTCAAAGTGGTTTGAACTTAAAATTTTTATGGTTCAAACTGTAGGTTGGCTACTGGATAGTGTTGCTAATACTAGTTCCAGAGTCATACAATAATTGTGAATTAATGATGCATTAAGGTGCAGCTGCTGCTTTGACTTTTTGCAGTTTTGGCTTAAAGAAACCAAGGGCGGCTTTCTCAACAATGGATCTAACAATTTTCGACATCGACCCCTTAACACGATACAAAATTAAGCGGATTTGAGTTTTGGAGCCAAAACATGAAAACTATACAAATGGATCTGTCTTTCATTGTCTGGTACTTCACACCAGACGCTATTTGGGACAAGTCTGGAGTGTTTTTCTGTTTCTGAAGACGTTACAATTGCAAGTTGGGACAAAAACATCTATAATGACAAAGGGATTTGGCTCTAGAATGAGAATTCTTCAGGTATTTCTTGAAATTTGCCTGACAAGAAGCCACTATATTTCCCTTTAAGATCTCCACCTGAAAATGTGATATTTAGGTAAGTAAAACCTGATCCAACAATTGCAAAGGTTGCAAACGAAGAGGATTACATAGCCACCTCTTTTAAGTTCAAATGGTGCAATGTTTTCTAATCCAACCATCTTCAGAATATCTTTGCCTGGAAAATCAACAGGAAAATAAAAATGATATCATAAATAAACAAATCCTTATAGTGGGAAAATAATCCAGCTCCAGCTTTTTAAAAACAAAAAAAAAAAATTCTCTGGAGAAAAGATTAGGCAAATGGAACTTTTGTTTATATTAAAGATCTTCTAAGTTTTACAAACTCTGAAAATGATTTGCTAAGGATTTTAGAGTAATGGTGAAAATGCTGCCAGCATAACTACATGGTGGATAACCCAGCATTTAGAGGTGGTTCACAATAGCAACATGTGTTAACCTTAAGCAATAAAAAATAGTTTAGATAAATCCTTAGTTGTCTAGTAACCTTTCTGAAAATTCGTGAGGATGAAGCTGTAGATTCTATATGCTTCTGCACTTCCTTTCCCCATGATAAGATTAAGAAGAGAAGTCAACCTCACAAACCTCAAGATGACAATTATGCCATGCAGCAGTGTTCATGCTTGATTTGATGATACAGAGTTATAACACTAAGAACTTTGAACCTTCAGATCATTTAATAAGGAATTATCATATTTTTATCAAACATGATCCCGGAGCATGATTCAGTAGATTCTTCCTCAACAATGAACTGTTACATAAAAAATCAAGGTAGATATTAAGAAACATATCATGATTATTCCTTACCTGCAACACTCTTTCCTTCTTCACCGACATTAACAAGGAAGGTTGGTATCTGGTGCTCTTTCAACTATAGAAACAATTTAGAAACATATAATAGTGCGGCTCATCAATTAGCAGTTAACAGTGACAACGATTAATTTAACATATTTATATAGGCTTTGAATTAAAAAAAAATTACATAAGCTAGTAAATTTTCATTTTTAACCTTGGAGTGAAGAGCCTTAGCAAGATCCAATGCGTCAATACAGGAAGGACCGTTAGCATAACCAGGCACAAACTCCCCATTTTGATAGCCAGCCAAAAAGTGATAAGCTGCTTGGCCAGGAGAGAGCTTTGATACAGTAGGGATGCTTCCAGAACTACGGGACAGAGAAAATTCCACAGCTTTTAACGGCAAAGTGAATGTGTTCAGGAAAAAATGTTAAATTACACCAATTAGAGTACAATTTTCCTAATTCTTCAGGATTTATAAATAATATAGGAGCCAAATGGAACAATACTTTTGTTAATTTCTCCAAGGTTAGGGCAGACAATGAGGAGTGAACCATAGAGAAAGTTACAAACACTCAACCTTTTCAACCCATACAGATAAATTATTTCCATGCCCTCTGACTTACGTTTCAAGAAATATGCGGGATTCTTTTCACCTTTCAAGTTCTGTGCAACTACAAATATTTTTCTATTTGCTGATTGGGGAGCACCAGTTAATTTATAACTGCTTAAAAGGATAACCACCTTGAGAATTTTGCAAGAAGATGTCTGCATATGCCTAGAGTCACATGCTGAAAGTCACTCAATGCCATAATCATGGGAAACAGTGCTTAATAATATTTATTTTCCTTATTTTAAAAATAACTTCAACTTTTCTTACGAAACTGGTTAACTCCCTACTCAACTTCGAGAACTAGCATTCTGTGGTTTCACATGTTCTACGAGAAGTGGATCAAGTGATATAACCGGCCCATTGAGTTCAATGAACTCTTGTCTAAAAATTTAAAAGTTTCAACTTTTGAAAGACCACTCTTGCTTGCATACCATATTTTGTGAATGATGCAAGCGAAAGGCACTGATACCAAGGAACATCATATTGCATTGCATATTAATTGTCAAAAAGAACTGAACAACCTTCATTCAGTTTTTTACCTATCAGATGTTGCAAGGATAACAGCGGATGGCATCTTGTATAGATTTTCGCCACTGGACATTTTGGTTTTAAACAAAGGCAAAACACCTTCGTGGGAAAGAACTACACCTGCATCTGCAGACACCAACAGATCTGCAAAACTCCGAATGACATTCTCAGGGGCAAAAATAAGAACCACAGAATCACCAGATACTAAGAGCCTGCAATTTCCAACCTACAGATGTGAGTTACGTATTGCACATTTATCATAAATATGAAAATGTAGCAGTTGAAGATACAGGACTCTTACCTAGCAGATAAAGGAAGGCCTCCTCGTGCAGATATAACTGGCTCAGATAAGGTAGCTAAAGCTTCTTTAGTTCCATTTATATCAGAAAATGCTTTACCACATAAAATAAGTGAAGAACGCTCAACATCAGCTGCTATAAATCCATTATTTCCTTGAGCTCCAAGCCCAATGACATCCTCAACAGCCGCACTGTATAAATGAAATTTAGAAGCTGAAATATCATGATTTATTATATCTTAAGTGCTATCAGTCGTGCTAGAGTTAGAAATGGGGTAAGGGACCTGAACACTACCAGGAGAAATGAAGAAACTGAATAATTTTCACCATGAGGCTGAGGAACAACTTAATAGTAGCAACACTTCAAGACATCAAGGAAATGGGAACTTTATAATTTATTTCACGTTCTAGACTTTCTTTTTGATGTTGTACCTACTAAAGGCAATAAAACAACAAAAACATTTAAATTTCATACCTTATTGATGTAGCGGCGTAAATTGTTAAAGGACAAGAATCATGGGAAACAGCACGAGTAGAAGTCTCCCAAAGAACATTAGAAAGTCTCAATACAGCAGAAGGACTGTCACTAATCACACGAACTTTAGCATCAGATTTTGGTGATGAACCAATAGCCCCATCATGTACAAAAATATTTGAGATAGATGATAGGTGAGCTGTCACCTGATAAAATCAAGAATAGCAAAACAAGCATTATCATACATGATGCTGTTTGCATCACATAGGAATTCAAAAGGCAACTTTCAAATAGAAACGATGGTGCAAACATAGATTCATGCGATGTTAGCATGCCTCTAATTCTCTACATTTCAAGAACATCAAACATTATGACTTTCGGTTTTCTCCTTAAAAAGTGCCCCAATACTCCTTTGTTGTTTTACATAAAAGGTCCACTATTAATGTTCCATATTTTTTATTTATGGACTTGGCTTCTGCATCTCTCTTTTTTCTCAAATTTTCCACAAGGACTCTCAGACATTAAAGCTTCAACCTACCTAAAGGAATTTGACACAATTGATAACGCCTGGCATTGCATGCAATATATGGAACATTTTGTAGAAGAATGTTATCATTCATCATAAATTACTTATGAATATGAAGGAACCAAGTTTATTCTCTAAGACACTAACTGTGCATGTAGAGAGGTGTGAGAGAGAGTACTTGTGAGTGAGCCAAAAAGACAAGAGAATTTCCATTCTTAACTCTAAGATTATAGGCAGAAAAAGAACAGAAATATTAAAGCCAGAAAACAAGACATACCTGCTTCAAAAGTCTACTATATTGTGCCTTTGAAATTGCTGAAGCTCTCCTAAGAGTTCCTCTAACATGAACTGGAAGCCCTGACAAGGATTCTGACAAAAGAAAACGGCAAACAAGAAAATCATAAACACCTAAACAATGAAAAAGGAACAAAATACCATTCCACTCAATATAGTGAAAATTTTACCCGTAACGGTTGCACCTTTTTTTTGCAATTCAGAAGACTTCAAGTTTTGGAAAGCTTTATCCTTCACAATGACACCTTTTCCAGCCAGACCCCAATTAAGTCCATAAGAAAATTGAGGGCTTTCCCTATATTAAAAGAAGTAAAAAGTAGAATGATAAGTATGCAACTTCCATCAAGTACAAACTACAGAGTATGTCACATAAACAATATTAACATCTTTATGTTTTTTAACTGTGTAAACAAGATATGAATCAGATTCAAAACAACCACATCAAAGTCCAAAATTGAATGTTAGCATTATTTTTCAGCACATGTGAAAGCACATTGAAATTTGGTTACACAATGGAAGTTAGCCCCAATCCATTATTCATAAACCTATCTCTCTGAAACCCGAAATCAAGACCTTTAAGTGGAACGTTTAAAGTTTCTAAGAATCACAGTATCCAATAGATGAAAAATGTTAGAATTATTACCACTGATTTTTAAGCAATGGTTTGAATACCCTTTTAACATTTGCAAACTTAAGTAAATCCCTCTAAATAATAAAATACAAAAAAAAGCTTAAAAATAACCGGAAACCCTAATTCATATAAACGAAATTAGACTTGAAATTCAATACAAAATGCCGCATACTTAGCTCCAGCTAGAGAATCTAAACAAACAGAAATAAAAGTTAAGCTAATAATGAAGTGCACCAATGTTCAAACGATCTCAAAAAAAAAAAAATGTTTCATGTGAAAGGGGATGATATAAACTCAAAAAAAAAAAAATCGAAAATAAGAGACTAACGCGTCGAGATGAGAGTAAGAAAGGGAGAGTGAATCTGGAAGTAGAGGAACGATACAAAGACGATGCAGTTGTTTGGATGAATCGTTTGAGAATAAGATTCCTCATTTTTCTTTTTCCTAGCTGAAAATGAAAACACCCCTCCGAGAAAATGAAGTCAAACGGGTCGGACTTCGGGAGAAAGAGAAACCCAAACCGAGTCTTCGTTTATTATTGTTTTGTTGACATTGGTTGAACAATGACTCAATGAGGTAAGGCAGACAGAGAGAGAGAGAGCGGAAGACATGAGAGATGATGGGCCTTGAATTGAAAGAATTGGGTTATTAATATGGGTTATGAATTTTGAAATATTCCCATAGTAATTTTTTTTCCAGGAAAAAGAAATCAATGGATATATAAATAAATTGGGAATGATGTTAATGTCGTTTCAATAGTTTGCTGCTGTTTTAGCAATATGTTACGTTCTTCCATTGTAGTAGGCAAGCCCACTTATTTGGGTGAATAAACAAACTGACTTTTTCCAAACAATAAAAGGGGCTTTCTTCATTCTCCGGGCCCTTCTCTGAGCTTTGTGATTCAGACATCCAAGGCCTACACCTTCAAATCATTGATAATTTAATCCTTTAATCTCTTTTATTTTGTTATAAAGATGGAAGAGGCACATGAAAGAACAGGAAATAGCTCGACCGAGCAAGCTACAAGCTTAATTAATATGTGAATCACAAAATTATTGACTAAAAATATGTTTTAGGGTTTAATTATTATAAGAAAGATTGATTAGTAATGTGACATTGAGTCCAAAAGAAGGAAGAGCAGGCCAGCCCTTGAATTGAAATTTCAAATCCAAAGGCAACAAACCAACATGAAAACAAAGTAATTATAACTCACAAACAAGTTTAAATCACAACTAGCTACAAGCCTGCAACACAACCCAAACAATCAGAACAACACGTGGCAACCAGGAACACCCTGGACTCAACTTTAGGAGTACATGGAAAGTAGTTTAGTCCAGCCACCAAGAGAATCGAATCCAATGCCCTGCCACTCAATAATAACCGCGAATTAAGAAATTTTCTAAATAATGCTAGATTAACCAACACTTGTTTCTACTTACAGACATGTCAAAAATTAGTTCTTACCTAGCAAATCATCAGATGGATCATTTCTTTGATGATGAGATTTCATTGCCATCAATACATATATCAGAGACATGAGCAATCTTGGCCTAATCCTCCCCCATTTCCGGTTTGCATCTTTCTCCCACAATAGGAATTCCTTGGATTCTCAATTCATTGACGCGTGGCATTCGCTCTGGCAGCGATGACAACTTTGGGCAGTCCTTAATCCATAACATTTCAAGTGATGTGAGATCCTGTTTCACTGATAACGCTGTGAGATTCTCACATTCTCCAAGCCCCAATACTTGCAAGGTGTCAGCAGATGTTAAAAGAAGCCATTGGGGTAGTGCCTCCAACTTTGGTAACCCTACAATGAGCAACGTTTGAAGGCGTAACCCACTGCCAACAAGGTAATCTTGATTATCATTATCTTCTTTTTCTCTCCCTTCCAATCCCAATGTCATATTAAGATCAAGCTTTTCACAATCCATAATTATCAAAATTTTTAATTGGGTTGAAGATTTCAAACCATGCGGTAGTGAGATCAAGTTTTTGCATTCATCAATCAGCAAGGTATGAAGGGATGTGAGGTTCTGAATCCCTTCAAACAAATATTCTAAATTTTCACATTTTGTAATTATCAAAACCAGAAGAGATTGCAAGTGCTCAAAGCCATTCCCAGATAGAACCCTCTGTCTCGTATTTACTTCTAACATTCTGAGACTGATCATATATCTCATATCTTTGGGCAATTCTTCAATTCTTTCACCACCGATAAGCAGAGTTTCCAAACTCCGTAACTTACATATGGAATTCGGAAGTTTCTTTATATTGGAACAGGCTCTTAGGTCAAGATACCTTAAATGCTTCAAACTACCAATATTTCTTGGCAATACCTCAAAACTAGACTTTTTTAAATTTAGTACTCGCAAATTATGGAACCTTGCAAGGCATTTTTTAATAAAGGAGTCACTGCTAGTACCCTCTTTCATATCTGGGTAGCAAAATGTACGTACCTGAGATAGCCTATGCGTATCAAGGAACCACCCAGACGGATTTTCTTCAAGAAAATCCAAGTTGTCGATGTACAACTGTCGAACCCCTTGAGGAATATTTTGCTTGAAAGAGTTTACTGTGCAGCACTCATTCTTTGTCACTGCTATTGCAAGATCATGTAGAAGATCATGCATTTTAAAACAATTAATATACAATTCTTTATCAAAATCTTGAAAAAAAGATCTTGATGATAGATCGTTCAAGTAACGCCTACCAAAATCTTCTAGGTCTTCATTTTCATTGGAAGATTGAAGCAAACCATGAGCCATCCAAAATTGGATCACCTCCCAACTATCAAATATATATCCTTTGGAAAGACTGAAAGTAATGCAAAACATTGTTTAAGACGGGGAGGCAATTCATCATAACTCAATTTCAAAACAGGAAAAATGTTATTTTCCTTTTCCACTAATTTCCACATCTCACTGTCTCTCACAAGTTCCCAATCATGCTCTGAAGTTTTGAAGAGAAGCAGACTCCCAAGTGTCTTCAAAACCAAAGGAACTCCATTGCATTTTTTGATTATCTCTTCCCCAATTTTCACTAGGTTTGGAGATAGATTCACTTCCCCTTTCTTGAATGCAAATTGGAGAAACACTGACAAAGCTTGCTTCTCATCAAGACCTTGCAAATTGTGTGCTGGGATTGTGCCCATCATCTCAGCAATTTGGTTATTACGAGTGGTGACTACAATTTTGCTTCCGGTACCTCCTTCCACTAACAGCTGTTTCAATTCATTCCACTTCATAGGATTATCGGTCCGTACATCGTCTAAAATGAGTAAATACTTTTTCCCATCCAAACAATCTCGGAAGGCCTTCTGTAATTGGTTTAAATCCATGTTACTACAATCGACCCCTTTGCATCTTTAATCATTTTTATCATTAAGCTTTTCAAATCAAAATCATCAACGAAACGCTACACACATTCACATTAACACATTTTGTTCAAACTCAATTCAATAGATAGCACACATTAAATTGTTAATTTTTTTTTGTCATTCCATGAATCAAAAAACTTTTTTCAAGTAGTATTTTAATTACCATTCTAGCAATTCTCATACTTTTTACATTAATGTTCGAAACATGTCTTCAAAAATCTGTTGTTCTTGCATTTAAAGTATTATATGATAACAGGCATTCTTCAACTCTTGTAGCCAAACCTGCAGCTGATTCTTATGAGCCTGTTTTTCTTCAGCATCTAAAAGCACAGCTTTGATAGTAGTTAAAGTTGTCTTAAGCTTCTCAAGGTCACTCTGAACAGCCCAAGCGAAGCGAATTTCTTGATAGGCAATATTGGTTAGTTTGGAAAGGAGATTTTCAGCAATGTTAAAGGCGAAGGATTCAGCCATAAGTGGTGGGGGAAAAATGTTTTGTGCTAAGTCTTTTGCTGATAAGTTTTATTGATGGAATTAAACAAGAAGTAGGAAATGGTATTAAAGAAAGAAACTGAAGCAGATGGTATCGATAGATTTTCTACTCAATATCCCGTTAAGAGTCGGAAGAAGCCGCTGTGAGTTAAATTTCAAGTTGACTTGGAAAAAAGAGTAAATGCGTTTGGTCAATAGTGAAGAACTGCTGGCCAACGCTGGGAATGTACTTTTTGAATTGTCCTTTTGACGGAGAATTTTCTCTCTTTCCACAGCGGCTTCTTCATCTCTTACGGGAAATTGAGTAGCAAGTCTATTGATTCCATCCGTTTCATTCATACTCTTGTGTCTTTCCGTTCCATAACGGCCAAAATGTTGAACATTTTGACGTTAATATACAATTCAGTATTCTTTAGATGACTAGCCATACACTAATTATCAGCATGCATAGGCAAATAATGATATCCAATTACTATTTCTTTGGGATTTAGTACACTTTGAATGAGATTAATGTATAGTACAATTATATGCCAAGACTTTTCCCAAATACTAGTTCCTTTCACATGTCTTGCAGCCATATAATTTAATAAAAAAAAATTAATACTATATAATATTTATTATAAAATATTATATAATATATTGTTGATGAAGTTTTTAATATATAACTATTTTAATATAACTAGCACCTAAATTCTTTATGTATATTTTTCTATGTATGTATTCTTTACTTTAGTTTATTTCCAACTATTTTTTTGACAAAAACAATTTAAAACCTTGCATTTTAACAATATGCTTAAATTATAATACTTGTCCATTAATAAATTTATTATGATTTCCTTAAATGAATTATAAGAAAATTCTTTTCTAATTAAAATAAAATAAATATTTTATGTAATTAAGAAACGCAAATAATTAAATTGCTCAAATGGAAATAATTCATTTTGATTGATATATTTAGGAAAAACAATCATTGTAAGATGGATAGATAAAAGTTTCTTCTAAATTAGTTTATATTATTAACGTTTTCAAATTTTTTTATTCCTCCAAATATCTTCAATTTATTTTTATTATCACTTTCTTAATTGGAATGCTTGCAAATAGAAAATTTATACGTATTATAATAAGATAACAATATTATATTTAAGAAAAATAAAAACAATGAAGTTTTTATATTTATATTTATTTGTACAGTGAAACAAATAAATATATATACATATTTAATACCCATCAGGAGATGATTTCGAACCCGTAAGATGGCGCTGCAGAGTGGAAGAATATACAAACTGATCTGCAGGCACCTCTGCTATCAATATTCCGTTGTTTCTCATATTCATAAATTTTTATTTTTTTCGATTTTATCTTCTACGATTAGTAAATCTTGTTTTTGAGTCACTGGAAAAAAAAAATCATAAACATTATTCACTTGAATCATTTTGGTTTTTATTTGTTTTATGCATGTCATATTGTTTGTAAAATTTTAATTATTGTAAATTATTTTTTTAATTTATTTAAATATGTGTATTATATTTGTTTAAATTGTTTATTTTAATACATATTTATTTAAATTATAATTATAATCAAGTATTATATACATATATAAAAAATTATTGAATAATCATCATAATCAAGTATTATATACATATATAAAAAATTATTGAATAATCAACCAACAAATTAAAATATAACTAAACAAATCCAATATAAAATTGAATACACAATAAAACTGAAATCTCATACTCATACACAGACAAACCCTTATTGACAAGAAAAAGAAATTGAACCTTAAAATTAAAGTATTTTAACCCTTTTGAATGATAATTAGATTACCTTAATAGGCAATGATCTTATCATTTTTGACGCTCCAAAATCACAACCATATAAAATCATTAAGATAGTGTTTGGTATCATTTTTAAAATCACTTGAGTAATTTAATCATCAATGTGATGTTATTGCTAAAATGATTTTATCACCCGTGATCTAAAATCACTTTGTTTGGTTAGGAACCATTAATTTTTAGTGATTAAAAATCACTATATTTGGTATTACTAAAAATAAAATATTATTTTGATTGAAAATACCAAAATAACTATGCACATTATAATAGGTACATAAGTTAATAATTTTAACGTTATTTAAAGATAATAATTTGTATACAAAATATTAATAATATTTTAGTTACTTCATAATAAATATAATTAAATTATTAAATTAAAAATATATTTATTGATAGTAAGCTAGTTTTTATAGTATAAATTATGTAAAATATATTTGAATTAGAAAAAATAATAAATTTTAAAAATATATTAAAATACAAAGATTATATTATAAATAAATTAAAAAAAAACTAAAAAATCACACAAAATATTTTTGAACTTGTTACAATAAATATTAGTTTGAAAATATAAAAATTATAATAAAAATAATAACAATTAATTTTTTTATAAAAATAAGTTTTTAATTCACATATTAAATGAGTAATATTGACTATAATTAATTTTACATATCACTTCATTCCAGTTATAAAAGTTTTCAACCTTTTTAGATAATAATTATATCCCCTTCCAAGGTAGTAATCTAATCACTTTCAGTGATTTAAGATCACTGCCTCATAAGATTACTAAATAATTACTAAATATAATGATCTAATCACTATGCATAGATCACTATGATTTTTTTAGTGATCACTTTATATCAAATACTACCAAAATATTTATTAAATACAATAATCAAATCACCATGATTTAGGATAATTACCCTATATCAAACAACATGTTGGTGTGAAAAACACTATTTTATTTGTCAAAGTTTGGTAAAAAAATACATTAATCTAAGATAGTAATTGGTATCAATTTAAGATCATCATAATAATGTAATCGTTGAGATGATTTTATTAACAATGTGAACTTACTCATGATTTAATATCATTTTATTTAATTAACATTATTAATTTATATAAATTAAATATCATTGTATTTGATATTACTAAAAATTAAAGATTATCTTAAGTATGAAAATAACTATACATATTATAACAGTTACATTAAATTAACAAATTTAATGTTGATAAAAATAATAATTTATAAAATATAATAATATTTTGTTTATTTTACAATAAAATATGATTAAATTATTAAATTAATAAAGAATTTATTTATTAAGTAAACCAATTTTATAATATAAATTTAGTAAAAAACATTTGAATTAAAAAATAGAAATAAATTATTAAAATCATAATAAAAAATAAAAAGATAATATCATATATAAAACATTAAAAAATAAAAACAAAAATTATTTTTTGAACATGTTATGAACATTAATTTAAAAATATAAAAAATTATAATATAAAATAATTACAATTTAAAAAGAAATAAGTTTTTGATTTATATATTAAATGAGCAATATTAACTATTGTTAATTTAACTTATTGTTTCATTTCGTTGATAAAATTTTTTTACCCTTTTAGATGAAAATTAAAACATCTTTCAAGGCAATGATTTAGTTACTCTCGATAAATCAAAATCACTATCACGTTAAATTCATTAAGTGCTTATCAAATACGATTATCTAATTATCATGTGTATATTACTATAATTTTTTGAGTGATTTTGTATACCAAACATTACTCAAATGTTAACAGTTAAATAATTTTAATTGAAAATATAAATATCTTTTGTTAATTATTAGTTATTTATTTTTCTACTTGTTTTTTTTTTTCATTTTTTCATTTGGCTTTTTTTAAATTAAAATTATAAGAATTTAATAATTTTTAATTTTAATTAATTAATTATATTCAAATTCAAGTATATATTAAATATTTTAAATTTATCTTTAATTTAATTATATATTAACTTTGAGATGAATATATTAAATTATATTTATTTTAAAATAAATTAATTATCATTGTTTAAGAAAAATGTTTAATGATAACGAAATTGATTAAAATAAAAAAATTTAAAAAAAAAAGAAAAAGAAAGGAGAAAAAGTGTCATTCATGAAGTTTTATTGAAAATAAACGTATCTTTATTAGTCTGACAAACGGATTTTATCGCTATTCAAAAAAGCAATCAACTGTTATTATTTAATTAGTCAAATTAATATATATTTTTAATTTTACTTTAAATATGAAAAAATCCTCATTTATCACGTACTTGACTTACAATATAATTTTTTAGGTAAAAAAATATGATTTAATTAAATTTTGATTTCATAGTAAATAAATATCATTTTAAAATTAATTACATTCTCATAATTTTATAATTAAAAAAAGTCTTAGGTAAAAAAAATGAAAAAAAAGTGAAATAGAAAAATTAATAATTAATAATTAAAAAAATATATTTATGTTTTCATTTAAAATTATTTAACTATTAATATCTCACGATATATTTTTTACCAAATCTTAAAGACCAAGGATCCATTTGAATACCATCATTCTTGCATTACCCAAGATGTTCTCACTTTTTTGGGGGAAATTGTGCTGTAATTGTTGTCCAATGCAATGTTTATTTTAAAAAATGTCCATACTTTAAGTGTATTTTTTTTTTCTTTTTAATCTCTTTTTCATCCTTCTAGTTATAGTGTTGGGACAACAATGTCCTTACCATTTAAGACTCTTTCTTTTTCAGTTTTTCAAAATTTTTAATTCAAAACATTTTAACTAATTTTATTAATTTATTATAATAAATAAGTTATTATATTAAATTATTAAATAATTGAACACAAAAAAATTAATAAATAATTTAATAACTAATTCTAATTATTTTTAATTTATGAACAAAAATATTATTTGATATAAAACATTTTATAATTTTTAATTATTTATTAATTTCACAATAGAAGCAATTCACTTATACCAATATAATTCTTTTTTTTTTTTGGACTGTTGGATCAAAATTAAATCCATAATTTATTTGAATCAAGAAAATATTTTAAATTTAATAATTTTGATTCAAGAATTCATAATAAATGTAAGAATTAGACTAAAATAAGTGAATTTTTACTCATTTTACAAATATCAATAATATAAAAATTTTACTCTATACAAATTTAAATTTAATATCTTTAATGATCATTTCTCTTTTCACATACATTTGCATATAAATACATTTGTTTGCTATTAATTTTAATCTTATCACTATAATAATAAATCTCAATACTATTTTTAATTTCATAAAAAACAATCTTATCGTCTATTTACATTGTACGCTAAATAATTAAATAATTAAATAGGCATCTTTCAAACTAAAAGTCATAAGAGGAATTTCTCATAAACCTCGTGGAGTCATGGTACTTTCACTTTTCTTCTTGCTTTCTATTCTATCTACTTATTATAAATTTTTTT